GGATACAAACACAGAACATTGTTTTTTGTCTACAACAATCCTTCCCTGCCATCACAAAACCTATAAAAAGGGAAGTATTGAGGAAAGTCAAAGCAGTCATGTAACAAAATCAACCAGTCATGAAACCCCACATGCGGCGCCCGAAGTGGATAGCGTCCAGACTTGCAGCGAACCGCACCAGAGATGGCTGGAATTTCAGGAGGAACAGCCTGGAAAAGGCTCTAGCATAAAAACACCCAAAAACTTATATAAAAATGATATAAATATTTTAGCGTAGGGATATTTTTATTCCGAAATTCTATGAGATGTTGTTGATTTGTGTAAATTAGGCATTTCCCCCTTTTTTTTCATTAGTTCCCTTTATATTCATTATTTATGACCATCAAACATACTTCCTAACATTTGACCCTCTGTTTAATAAGCAGCACATTTTGTTACTGCTATAGCTTGTTATAGTTATAAATACAGCCAATGGGTCTGATTCACCAACTGTTCTTAAAAAAAAATTGGTAACACTTTCTATGAATGTCACCTTTGTAAGCATCTATAAACACATTCATAACATGCTATAATGCATTCATAAGACATTATAAACATAGCTATAAATATTTATAAAAATGCATTATAAGTTAGAGCCATGTTTATTATGCATTATGAATTGTTAACATAATGCATTATAAGTACTGATCATAACAAATTATAAGAGCTCATAAGTCGTATTTGTCCGCTCTAAGTGAAGCGTACTGTACTAAAGCCTCCTCCAGTGTTAAGAGTGAGGCTTCAAGTTGAAGTATTTACTGAAGATTTACTGAAACACTAAAACATACACAGTAAAGCTCATTACAGGCTTCAAATGTCAGAGTTTAAACTAGAGCTGCCATCAGTGTTTTACCCAATGTGGGAAAGGTAATGTTCACCACCGTTAGCTTGGTATTTGTCTTTACGCTCTCCAAGCTGGGACTGACTTCTTTGGCACTGACATTATAACATGTTATTAGCACTACTTATAATGCATTAAATTAACAATTCATAATGTATAATAAACATGGCTATAAAGTGTAATTCAGTGTAATTCTTTTTTATAAATGTTTATAACCATGTTTATAATGCCTTATGAATACATTATAACGTTATAAATGTGTTTATAGATGCTTACAAATGCGACATTCATAGAAAGTGTTACCAAAAATTTCTTCTTAAGACCCACTTATGAAGCTTTCACGAAGATTCTGACATTGACCAACGTTTTCTTATTTGGGATTTGATCTTAGGAAAGAACAGAATCCACGTACACTGAAGAGCACAAAAGAGCGGATAACGGTTTAAGAACATGTCATGGATTTGACACTTGGCACTTTAGCCTCTTGCTCTTAATACAGCTCATAAATTTTTGTTTCAGTCTCTCAAGGAGAAATTGATCTCCACCTTACTGTTACTTTTGTTAGTTTGCTGCTTGTTGATTTATCCACAGGTCTTCGTAGAACACTGTCCAGTGTAGTCTGCTAAAAGTATCACTATTTAAAAGCTGTATTTTAACGAAAGGCTTACAATTGCAGGCTCTAGCATATCAACATGCAGCATGCTGCAGCTGGGCTTCAGCCTGCATGGAACTTTAGTGCCGGTAATGACTTAGCATGTTAACACATCACAAATTTTGACAGCCCTAGTTTTATTGTCTTAACAAATTATGATGTGTTGTGTTCAGCTTGTATTGCTGTAGTTGAAGTGACTATTAGATTAACAGTATTTATGAAGCAAACAGCTTTCCTCATATCAGGGGTGTTTGTTAAAAGGGCAGCGCTTACCAATAATACGAATAACCGATATATCAGTCTGGCCCTACACCCATCCCAGATAAAACAAAGCATCCAGTATTACTTTAAGCATTTTTTTTAACAACTCAATTTCATGTGATTGTATACAAGCACAGCGTCTATGACTGGATCCGGACTGGCTGGTTGAATCTGCTGTATCTGCTGGCTCACTCGGGTAATGAGACGGCTTTATTGGAGACTGCAATTCTCCACATACAGTAATACAGAAGTGCTTGAGTCTAGAAGATAACAGGGCACAGTGGGGAGCCCTGGGAGAACAGCCTCCTTAGGGGCTAAATAACTGCTTATTACTCCTGTCTTACAGTGCCCACACACACACAAACACATACACACACACACATACACACACACATACACACACACACACACACTATAATTACAGGATCAGATATATATTGGAATTTAACCTTCAAAACAGTACACAAGTCTACACCACACACACACACACACACACACACACACACACACACACACACATACAGTTAGCATCTTTTATATCTGCATTCACTACACCTACACTCGATGGCCACTTTATTAGAAACAGCTACCTGTATTTCCATTCAGTGGCCACTTTACTAGAAACACCCACCTTGTACATCCACTTATTGGTCACTTCATTAGAAACATCTACCTGTACTTTCACTCAGTAGCCACTTTATTAGAAACACCCACCTTGTGCTTCCACTCACTGGCCACTTTATTAGAAACACCCACGTTGTACATCCATTCACTGGCCACTTTATTAGAAACACCCATCTTGTGTGTCCATTCACTGGCCACTTTATTAGAAACACCCACCTTGTACATCCACTCACTGGCCACTTTATTAGAAACACCCACCTTGTACATCCACTCATTGGCCACTTTATTAGAAACAGCTACCTTGTACTTCTACTCATTGGCCACTTTATTAGAAACACCCACTTTGTACTTCTACTCACTGGCCACTTTATTAGAAACACCTACCTTGTGCTTCCGCTCACTGGCCACTTTATTAGAAACACCTACATCATATGGGTGTGCAATTACACACTGTTGCCCATGCAAAATTGATCAGACCCCATCTACCTCATTCCCCACTGGTCAGTTTCCTGAACACAGGATCGCTGTTGTCCAGATATTTCTTGGGTGGTGGATCAATCTCAGCACAGCAGTGACAATGACATGGTAGTGACTGTGGTTCTCTTATAAGTGTAGAAAACATGCCAGTGTCAATGCTAGGTTAAGAGTGGACCACCACCCAAATTATCAAACCAAGAGCTAATCTGGGGTCAGAAACTGACCACTGATGAAGGACTACATGATGACTGACACAAACTCTGCTTTAACAGACTGTAACTGGTGGAGCCACAAGGAGGAGTTTCTAATAAAGAAGCCAGTTCTCTCACACACACATAAACTCTTGTTGTATATGAACATTCAGCCCTCAGAGCCGTAGAAAACCCCACTCTCTCACTCTCTTGTGCACCATCCCTCTGCTTGTGGTCTGCAATTGAAGAAATGATCCTGCAGTTACTGCAGCAAATAACTCCTTTATCATCATGATACAAGGAGGACATTGTCTCCACTGGTCGTAGATGAAAGCTGTGGTAATAAAGGGAAGGTTAAGCAAAGTGTAGTGTAGCTGCTGACTGATCACGCCAGGAAAACCATTACACAATGTGTGACTGCCAAAAGAGCCTGGAGGACGTGGGAGACGGGCTGGTAACGCCAAGCCACACACACACACACACACACACACACACACACACACACTGCATTTTGTCAAGTGAGGATCAACAAAACCCACAACAACAAACCTTTTGTGTTTTTTGTGTTATTGGAAACATTTGGTTTATGCAGTGCATAATATGCCCATGTATTTAACATATATACTACATACTTTATTACTATTATTATTGCATTATATGTATTAAGAATTTCATATTACACACACACACACACATATATTGCAGTTGTCGGAAGAATTTTGTTGTTGTTGTTTTTCAATTTTTGACATTTTTTGGAAAAAATAAAAATAAAAATAATATATATATATATATATATATATATATATATATATATATATATATATATATGTAATTTGCTGTATGATAGAATAATTATATATACATCTCTTAATATATATATATATATATATATACACATGCTACATTAGTGTGTCCCATATATGTGATAAATGTAAACATGTGTTTTTCTTGGTTTTGCTGCAAATTCAGGTTGTTGTTTGCTTTTTTTTGCTTTGTGAAAACTAACACACACCCATGCTGTGCCGTACACATGAGGAGCTGGTCTGTATCACAACCCGCTGTAATGGACCTGGCATTAGCACAGTGTTCGTCTCGCACATACACCCTGCAGCATATGTGAGGGTGTTCGGGCGTTTTGGGGCAGCTGATGGAGCAGATGGCTCTGGCTGGCCAGAGGAAGGTGTTTGATGGGTGGAAAGAGGTGTTTTTAATTACACGTCAAGTCTGTCGCCTAAGTGGGGGCTGAAGGGGCTTCGTCTGCTCACGAGCCTCAAACCTTGCGCTCGCCCTCAAGTGTGGAACCACACTTGAAGCAGACCTGCGTTCAGTTTCGACACAAAAAAAGCACTTCATGATGCTCGCAGTCACGTTGTGCGATCACGTCACTGTTTCTTAATTGGCACATTGTCCTGTTTGACAGGAAAGCAAAGTTAGGGCCTTCTATTTTCATTCTGGCATAGAGTTGCCAGACATTGCAAAAGCAGGTCAGCAGAGGTTCGACTGCACACAGGCTTTTGCAGAGTAATTGGGCTAATTAGGCCCTGCATTCACAGCATGCAGCACGTACAGTCGATGCAGACTCACCCATATGGAGGGAAGGACCATAATTATGGCCCAAAGGTATGACCTGCACTTTTGAGTTGAATGCAGGCTGACGCAGGGGACCATCTGAGCTGGTCTTTTTGCCCAAATTTTTGTTTATTCTTCATTATTGATTGTTTAGTCTTGTTCTTTTGTTTAGTCTTCTTTCATTTCAAACATTGCCCCTGCAATTAGCTGATGTATGCAATGTTGCTTGAGTCCCATTTAGGCCACTGGGTACTTCAAACTACAACAACATAGAAAATCTGTTGAATTTTTTTTGTTATTCTTTACCATGTTTTCTCTTAGTAAGCTCCAATCTTGTGCTTTGCAGTCTGTCCTGGCACTGATAACAAGCTCAGCACCCTGTCGGACCTGGACCAGCAGTACCACACTCTGCGCAAGTTCTACGAGAACTGTGAGGTGGTGATGGGCAATCTAGAAATTACCAGCATCGAGCGCAGCCGCAACCTCAACTTCCTTAAGGTGAGTTAAACTTATGTTAATTCCTAATTCTACATTCTCAACCTTAAACCTCAAACTTTAAACTTAACCAATTGCAACCTCAACTTTTTAGATGTGAGTTAACCCTTAACTCTGTGTGCTTAACCCTAAACCTAACCAACTGCAACTTTCTTTAAAGGAGTTGATCTAACGTCAACACTTAACTCTAAATCCTAAACCTTAAACCTCAAACCTAATCAATTACAGCCTTGTCTTCCTTAATATGAGTCAGCCGATTGTTAACTAATCCTTAGGTTCCTAAAAGTGAATTAGACGAATATTAACCTTTAACTCTAATTTAACATCCTAGACTATATTTGTCTATAATGGAGAATTTCCATTCAGAATACTGTGTAGTCCAGGACTACACTTAATACCTGTCTCGGAAACCAACCATAAATCTTAAACCTTAAACCTAACCAACCACATCCTTAAAGTAAGTCAGATCAACCCTTACTCTACATCTTAGACCATAAACCTAACCAATTGCAACCTTCATAAATTTCAGCCTCATCATTATTAAAATGAGTCAGTCTATTATTAACTCATTTTAAACCTTATGTTTAAAACTTAAGACTTAGGTTAAGACTTAGACTAGTCTGAATTAGACTAATGTTAACCCTTAACTTTAATGCTAAACTTTGTAACCTAATCCAAAAAAAACAACCATCTCATTCTCAAAGTGAGTTAGACCAACATTAAGCCTTAACTCTTAACAGCATAGGAAGGTTTCCCAGACAAGGATTAAGCCTAGTACCAGACGACAGAAAATTTTCAATGGAGAGTTCCAGTTAAAGGAGAAAAGTAGTTCAGGGCTAGACTAAAATCTCCTTCTGGAAAGCCATGTGGTCCAGGACTAGGCTTAATCCCTGTCTGGGAAAACCAACCTTAAACCTAACCCACCACATCCTCAAAGTGAGTTGGATTAACCCTTAACTCTTACTGTAAATCCTAGACCCTAAACCGAACCAACTGCAAACTTCATAAAGGCAAGTTAGATCAACTATCCCTAAACCTTATTCCTCAAAGGCTAAACATCTGCAATGAAACTTTTAATTGTAACCATAATTCCTAAACCTAACCAACTACAGCCTCAACTAGAGCTTACCTTAGCTTTAAACACTACACATTGGCCTTAACTAACTACAAACTCAAGTTCAACTCATGTTGGTGACTATCTAACCAAATTTGTGCTTCTTCTACAAATGCAGAGTTGGGTTCTGTAGTTGAATTCCTGTCCCAGAAATGCCATGAGTGACCAGAGGTTCACAAGAGAACTGGCCTTGATCTCATCAGGTTCATGCCACCCTGTCAGTACAGAACCAGCTGAGGTTTGCAAGGTCAAATGGGCAGCAAGCACTTAACACTCCACTTGAGATTTGGTGAACTGTTCTATAATATTGCAGTTCAAAAGATTCGGTGAAGGGCGCCTGATTCGTCTCGTCTTAAGTTAGGTTAATCTTGGTAATTGCCTATAACTAACCCTGGAAGAAACTGCAGGGAAAACAAACCCAAACCAGCTGTGATATTCCTGAAGGTGAGACTGATGTGAATGATTAGTGTTCATCATCAGCCTCTATCACACTATTGCTTTCCTTTGTCAGCCCGTGTTATTGATGACTTTTGTTTGTCGACAGTGTTATTAAAAGATAAGTTCGCTCTAAATTGCTTGCTAGAAGTAATGATTCCTTTGGGTGCATGGAAAATCATCAATTAACTTTTGACAACTATGCCAGATAGGGAACAATATGTGTAATATTTATTGAACTTATCCCAGTCTGTACTTTTAGGGCATACCAAGTGTGGAGAGCAGTCTGAAAACTGAATTCAGGCTCTCAAGACGCTCGTCTGGCTAATATACTGTTTTACAAGTGCAATATTGACCGGAGTCTGAATCATGATGATGCTGCAGCATCCATGACTGGGACTCCATAGTTGGTCATGTTGACTCATGGGTAGAGAGAGTTGCTAAGCTTTTCTCACCCAGTCTTCAATCTATAGAGTGTTGCTACCTAAGCAAGAGCATCTGTTAGGAAACGCATGCAGAATCACGTAGTTAAGAGTCCTCTTACTTAGATCTTCTATAAGCTTATTAGATTGAAATGATGCAATACAGTTAGCTGTGGAAGAAATTTGGGTTCTTTTGTGTATGTTTGTTAGTTAAAGTCTCAGTGAGATGGAGCTATGGACGTTAGCTATGGTCCCACTGAACTGGAGCTATGGACGTTAGCTATGGTCCCACTGAACTGGAGCTATGGATGCTAACTATGGTCTCACTGAACTGAAGCTATGGATGTTAGCTATGGTACCACTGAACTGGAACTATGTATTCTAGCTATGGTACCACTGAACTGGAGCTATGTATTCTATCTATGGTCCCACTGAACTGGTGCTATGGATGCTAACTATGGTCTCAATGAACTGGAGCTATGGACGTTAGCAATGGTCTCACTGAACTGGAGTTATGGATGTTAGCTATGGTTTCAATGAACTGGAGCTATGGATGTCAGCTATGGTCCCACTGAACTGGAGCTATGGATGCTAGCTTTAGTCTCTCTGAACTGGAACTGTGGATGTTAGCTATGGTCTCATTGAACTGTAGCTATGGATGCTAACTATGGTCTCATTGAACTGTAGCTATGGATGCTAACTATGGTCTCATTGAACTGTAGCTATGGCTGCTAGCTATGATCTCACTAAACTGGAGCTATGGATGCTAACTATGGTCTCACTGAACTGGAACTATGGACGTTAGCTATGGTCCCACTGAACTGGAGCTACAGATGTTAGCTATGGTCTCACTGAACTACACATATGGATGCTACCTATGGTCCCACTGAACCGGATATATGGATGCTAGCTATGGCCTCACTGATGTGAAGCTCTGGATGCTTTCATGTTTAAGTTGAAAAGTTAAAACAAAGTCATGTTTAGAACTTCTGGTATAACCTAAGCTCACACCTTTGTGTTTATTAGCTAACTTGTCTTAGCCAAACAATAACATCAGCAATAAGCCTTTCCTACTTGGGTCACATTTTTTTTCTTTTTTTGGGTGATCTGTGGTTCCATGTTGGTTTCACGAACACTTACACCTTTTTAGGGGAAATTGTAAATATTTTGTTACCAATAGTAAAAATATCGCTATATGTGTTGCAACCCATTTTGTTTTTTAGATTTTATCATTAGCCAACATTTGAACTTTTGTACAGCTGGTGCAACTGGCTCCTGATGTGCCCTTGTCTAACTGTCAACCTATAAATGAAAGTGCTCCATTTTGGATGGTGTCTACAAAAGATTGACATTTAAAATAAACATATTTCATTTCATTTCACTGTAAATGCTCTCAATAAGCCCCAAAAGACACCCACCCCAAAGGGTCCTGTATGGTTCTTGCCATGTTTAATGAGCTGAGCCATAGCTAATTACTGCACTCTCATTTCAGAATGGAGTCCATAAACATTTCCATTAGCCACGGTGTCATTAGCACAACAGTTAGGCGTCTGGGGGATTGATAAGGAGTATTGGAAGGTATGAAGTGAGGGAGCACCATTCTCTCTCTCCCTCTCTCTCTCTCTCTCTCTCTCTCTCTCTCTCTCTCTCTCTGTATCAGCATCCTCATGCATGGTTAATCTCTTGGCCCCTTTGCTGTGTGCCTCTGCTGCAGTCTCTGAGGATGTGAGACAGATGCTCACCTGTGGTTCAGAGTCTGGAGCTAGAAACAGTGGAGGAATCGTGCAGTCGTACTGCAGGCTTATTCTGCAGTCGCTGTGATTGCGGAGAACATCTGCTAAAGAATTCCTCTTCAGCATGTCCTTCCAGCACTGACACAGCCATCTCTGGCATCTCTATGAAGGTACAACTGGGTCATTCTACAGAAACGTCCACTTTTCTATCTCTCCATAGGTGTCACTGGTGTTACCAATCCTCATTAGAAAGGTAACACCAGTGACACTTTTAATGAAAAATGCATTTTACAAACCACATGGTATCAATCATGGAATGTCCACTAAAATATGTAATTTAATCCATTTGTATTCTATTTTTTCACAGTTACCTCAGAATAAAGTCGGTCACACCAGTGACTTCAACTAAAAGCTTCAAATGAAATCATGAGCTAAATGAGAAAATCTCTGATAAATGAAAGACACAGTGGACTCACCATGTGCTTTTCTTCATAGATCCTCAGAAAACAGGTAAAAGGAAGTCAAGTGATGTCATCAGTGTGACTATTATTTCAAAATAAGAGACTTTTTGTTACGCGGTAACACCAGTGACACGACTCCTGGGGACCACAACCTTCATTATATATTTTATAATATTTATCTGGCATTTGTTTTCTTTATGTCATTTAATTTATATATTCCATAGTCACGTATAGATTATTGTAGTTAAAATTGCAGAAAAACATGTTTTTTTTTCTTCAAAATATGGCCTCATTCTGTACACATGACTGTGGGGACAAGCTCTTCTGTGGTGCTTGGAGTTCTAGATAATTGATTTAAAAAACAATATTGCTAAATTGAGGCTCAAGAAGATGTAATTGTTAAAATAACATTGTTTAATTTTAAAATATACATACATTGTAATGCTAATATGGTTTTGAAGTGTAATATATCTGTAAATATATCTGGCTAGGGACACAAAAATGGACGTTTCTCTAGAATGACCCAACTACAAGATTCCCAAGTCCTAGGCATAATTAGATGGTTAAAGTTCAGTTGCCATTAGCTGTGATTATGAATCAAGGGCGTTTCTCCATTGCACAAAGTATCGAAATCTATGGCACCAGAAACTGGAACTGTGCTTTTTTCCATTGGCCAGTGCTTCAGTACTGAAGGTTTCAGATTTATGTTTTTTGGCACCTGCTCAAGACTGGTACCAACAGAACCCACTGGTACTTGAGGGTGCTCTCCTCTGTCTTTGGAAATACCTTCAGCTAAAGCTAGGTTTAGTGAATTCTTTACTTTTCTGGGTGAGGATAA